TCCCGATGAGACATCCTCGCTCGATTTGACGTGGTGACAAATCTCTCTCGCGACTTTGCTTCTTTCCGCGCACCTCCTTCGGATACTGATCCTCCGTCGGATGCTTGATTGTTTTGCTTTGTTAATTGCATTTTAGTTGGTTTTGCATGTCATACTTTGAATTTACTCATGGGTGATTTTCTTAGACTTTGATATTTTGAATTTGGTGTTTCTTTTATGTTTTGGATGGTCTGATAGATTTTTTTTTGTAATTTTTATAATATTTCGAATATTTTCAGCATGTTTCCTTTTATTGGGACCATGCCCACTGCCTATGGATATTAATTATGTTGACTAACTTGTTTGGCACTTTTACTCTTCACAACTTTATTATTTATCTTGTTTATTCTGAAACTTATCTTTTTGATTTAACAAAAAATGAGAGAACTTGTATTACTGTTAGAGTAAGGGGGAGTATTTTTCAAGAAAATCTTAAAATTCTTAAATGTTTTGTTATATAAAAAAGGGGGAAATTGTTGAAAACACTTTGATATTTTGATATAGCAAAAAATTGTTAAATAGTTTTTTACAAATTTTAAGATTATATTCGATTCAGTCTTTCGAATATATAGATTATTCAAACTTAAAATGTCAATTTTACTCCTCACTCTACTGAAAATTTGAGTCTTATACTGGAAATATTTTTGAAATAATTTTTACTAAGGGTTTCGAACTTCAATTGAGTCAAAAATGGTTTTTAAGTATATTAGTACCGATATTACTAGAACAATATTGATACTATTCAAGAAGTGTCGATACAGATATCGATGTTGAAGCCCAAAACTATGAAGTAGTACTGATATTGCTAAGGCGGTATTGATACTGTATGCAAGTTTGACAAAACAGAATACTAAAATGGTACTGACATTATATACAATATTTATACTACTTAGTATAGTAGCATCGATACTCCTAATGGTGGTACCGATACTACCTTTTTGGTTTTGAATTTGTCAAAATTCTAGTATATTCAAATGGTACCGATACTATATACAGTATGATACTATTGAATATAGTAATATCGATACCCTTGTAACAGTATCGATACTAGAGTTTCCCAACGGTCATATTTTTATATTTAATGAAGGGAGTATCGATACCGAGAGATCGAGTACCAATACTACAACCTTCTGGATAACATTTAATGCGGGAAACTACCTCCCAACGACTCTATTCACTCACATAACAACCCAAACGGTTGGAATTAATTGAGGGAGTATAAAAATAAGATTCCAAGTCATATGTGAAGATAAGAGATAAAAGAGAAAGCCAAAAGCAATAAATTTGAGCCAAATCAAGTCAACATTCTTCAATATTCATTTTACTTTTAAAGAACACTTTTTGTACTCATTTGTATTTATTTCTCAAGTGTTCTTATTTGTTCTTGAATTGTACAAACACATTCCTAGTGATGATTTTATAAGTTTGCAATTTGTAATTTTCTCTTTCAGAAAGTGTCTCAAGAATTTGGGATATAATTCTTGAGGGAGTTGTAAGGTTACACCTTATTCTCAAAGGTAGATACAAATTATGAATTTGTGAAAATACTTAGTGTTGATAACTAAGGTAGTCGATGTATACTTTAGTTGATAAAGTCGAACCACTCTAAATTCTTGTGTTCAATTTTATATTTTTCTCTCAAGCTTCCATAAAAAAATTAATTGTTAATTCACCCCTTCTTGACTATTTCATCCATTTGATTGACTCAACATATGTGTTGTGATGTATACCTTCCAATGACCTCGAATATTCTGAAACACAAAATTTATTTTTTTCACGAGAGATGCGTGTCACATTCATCACATTTTAATGTTGCACAAATGTTTAGAATTTTGTGAGGAGATCTTAGTGGACTATGTGACCACCTACCATCCAATCAACTGCTTGTTTTTCCAATATTACAAAAAGGATTTCCAATCGATAATATGTCGCTTTGCAGAACGTGGGTCCTAGAAAATTTAATTTGAATTTTCAAATTTTATTTAAGAACGTAATAAAATGCTAAGATGGTTCAATTTCTCGTGACCTCGAGTTTGACAAAACATGAGGTCGTTTATCCAAATATTAAATTGTGTTATCTGAAAAGCGCTTCCACGTCGGAGGAGTATCGCACTCTATAGAATGCGAGATTCTTTTACGCGTTTTGCGGAACGCAAAATAATCCTACGTTAGCAGTTTTGAGAGTATTTTTCCAAATAATCTCTACTGGTGATCATTTATCTAATAAATGAATTTTAGAATTTACTTAAAATAAAAATGCCCGTATAAATATTATCTTGTATACTAATAAAAAAAAAAGCGGTTAGATGCAAAGTTCATGAAACTACTCGAATTTGTCGTCCCCACCCAAAGTTTGTTGTTAATATTTAATACATTGATTAGAGAAGGACGATTCAAGAAATAACAAAACATTTGGAATTTGAGGGGGAAAACGAAAAAGCAAATGAGAAGAATGGTCGAGGCTTTTTTTTTTCTTTGCACAATAAGGATAATCATTTTTTATTTAGACATCTCGATTTATATTTTAGGATATTTTTTACAGTATTTATTGAACTTGTCATATTAAGGTGATTAATTTTAATAAAAATATTTATTTTATTAAATTCATCACGTCAAAAAGAATTTCAATAAAAATATTTTTTTATTCAAATTCGTCATCTCAAAATAATAAATTTTAATCAAATATAACTTTTTATTAAAATTTATCCATCAAAATAAAAAATAAAAAAAAAATTATTAAAATTTATCATCTTAATATAACAAATTTCATGTAACTATAAAAAAATCATAAATCTCAAAATAAGTTTTTACTTACCCTATTAAACTAAATAAAAAAAAAACCATATACGGGCCAATTTTGCCAAGAGTCGATTCCACGATACGCATAAATCGTCCAACCACGTGAGCCCCACTGTTTCTGTGTCACGCGTGCATAAATGTCCCAAATCTGACGGCTCAAATCCTACCGCGTTTGACTTCGAACTGCACATATCTCAATAAAATAATAATCTCTATAAAAAAAAAGTAGAATTAAATGCTCTCACTAAAAGAGAACTTACTACCTCCACTCTCTCAATTAAAATTCCGCAGCTTTCTTCAGCGCAAATCCAGGGGCTTCTTTCTCAGGCCAGTTTTCCCTATTTTCTTCCTCTCTTGCTTGGCTGTTTTGTGTCCTTCGATCTATACATTTTATTTCTTTGAGCTTCGATTCTGTAAGATTTACCCATCTTAATCTTATTTTCCTATTATTTTCTCTGAGCTTTTGTTTACGTTTTCCTCTAGAAAATATATTATATATTTTTGGTAGTATTTTTGTTAGTCTGTGTTTTTTTTCTTCTTATTCTCTTATTTGCTATTATGTTTATAATTCCATTGAGGACTTTTTTCTTTTTATTTACTGAAAGTGAGGTTTTCTAAATTGTAGCTATTTTTGTTTCTCTTTTTTTATTTAATTCCTCTGAGATAGATCTGTTACAAAATAAAACTTTTTGTTTGTGTTCTACTTCCAGTGAGCTTGAATTATTATTGATCCGTTTGTTTATTTAATTAATCTTTTGTTGCAGATCACTTGATATTTTAATCTGAGTATTTGTGTTTGATTTTAACTGCTATTTCGTCATTCTTTTTGACAGGTTAAAAGCTTGAATATTTTTCAATTATCACTCCGGGATTGAACCAAAGATTAACAAAATGCCTTGGTCTTTCGTCAATTGTGTGCGCTTAGTGGTTTTCTTTCTTGTTATACTGTAATTTTTATTTTTTTGGTAAGTTTTCTACATCTGAAAAATTCTGCATATGATTGCTTATTTGCCTTATAATTTCCAGAATAAAATGGAAGTTTACATTTTTTATGTGCATCACGTACATATCTATCAGTTGTTTTATTAAAGGGAATTATTCTACTGCTGTAGGTTAATTTCAATTGAATTTGAAAGGGAATTCAATTCATTCAACTTGTGCCATTGAAAATTTTGGGTTTAAGGTGTGAGAATGTACATTGCGGTAACCATAAAGAGATATCGAGCAATTAAGGAAGTTGGGAAGATTAAAATGAGCGTTGGTGTTGTTGCATACTGTAAGCTAATTCAAGTTTGTCAGGTATGTTATATTGTTTCAAATTTTATGTTGCTGTTTCATCCTCTTATATATGTTTGTGTCTTTAGAATTGTATGAAATTCCTAGATATATCTATGTGCCATGACAGGTATGGTCCCATTACTGATGCTGCCCTAGTATGCCTGGATTAGGTTGAATGGGCCTCTTGTTCTGCAGTTGTCAATTAGCTGATTTGAAAAATCTGTCTTCTTAATGCCCACAAGCATATGAATTATAACATGCACAAACATGGGCATATGTATTTATCAATTGTTATAGTTGAAGAGAAAGAAATTATTTTCAAATTTGAATCATTCTAGACGTTTGTCTTTGTATCTCTTTGTTGTTGTGGGTTTCCTCTTGCAAGCACAACGAATCGGGACACAAACTAAACATGTAAACTTTTTACCATTTTAATGTGACTCCTTATGAACTAGAAATTTTAGAGTGACTTCAAAATGCCAAGCAGGACTGAAGTTTTGGTTCTTATAATTGACAGAGTAGCTTCATGTTTTAAGCTGCACATATTACCTGTGCATTTCTTATGGTTTTATTGACTTCCCATGTGCTATTGCAGGCTGAGTATTTCCGTCAGTTGCTGAAACCTGTTACGTAGTCTGGTATTACAGAACTCTTGGAAATTGGGATCTGGGTGAGTGTTGTTTGGTTGTGTTATGTGTAAGACTGACAGAATGAAAAATTGATTGCATTCATGGCAATTTGGAATTGGTAGCTCAGTCATGTTGTAATGGCAATCCAGAAGTTTAGTCTTTGTCTCACCTAAATTATAGTTAGAACTTTCTTCCCACTGAAAAGTTGGATAATTGCACATTCAAAGCCAAGAAGCATCTTTGTTGTGAACCTCTTTAGTAGAAATTTAGATGCAGAGTCATCAAAAGTTTTACCCCCCAAAAGCAGTGCCCACATATGCAGATCAACTTGGTGAGAATTACATGTGTATACCAGTTGCATCTGCTTTTGATACTGTTTTCCCTCCATGTGCTAAGCCATTGCCACCCATCCATGGCATCGAGTTCCAACCCTCAGAGGTTTGTCCCAAAAATTTCATTATCTTCAACCAGACTGATCACAGAAACCAGATCATGTTCAATCCTGCTGTTGCAAACAATTTAAATGGTCCTGGATTAAATGGCTTAGCAAATTACATAGATGGAAGGTACGTTATAAAAGATGTTAATGATGTGGAAAAAGAAACCTCGTCCTCTTTGAAAGAGGATTCAGATGACATTGATGCACTCCTCAGCTCAGAAGAGGGGGAACAAGAAGATTATGATGAAGTTAGCACTGCACGGACTTATGGCAATTATGAAAGTGACGCTGATTCTCGCTCTGCCTATGATTCAAAACCAAGAAAGGACAACTCATTTTCTTCTACTCTGAAATCCTCTGGTGGTGGTGGTGGTGGTGGTGGTGGCTTTTCTGATCCTGAAAAACGGCTGAAAATGAAGAAAATGGTTAAGATGTTGAGGGGAATTTTTCCAGGTGGTAATGATATGGGTACTGTAGCAGTTCTTGATGAAGCGGTTCTGTACCTCAAGTCTCTCAAGGTTGAAGCACAGAAGCTTGGATTTGAGAAGTTCATGAATGGAGATTAAACTCGAATTGTGGTAATGATTTCCTTATCTTCTAAAAGGCAAGTTTATCATGTGCTGCATACCATTCCTTCAGTCTCTCTCTGATGGTTTGCAGTCCAGAGTTAAAGAAGACAGGTATTTAGAATTAAAGTTGTCTTTTAGTTTCCAGTTATGCATGTTTTAATGGTGTGCCAGGGCACAAATTGTTGCTTAAACTTCTGAAGCTCATATATTTTTCCTTGGAAGGAGAGAAAAGTTGGGATGGAATTTGTCTCTGTAATGTGGCTACTAAGTTCGTAGTTGTCATCATCTTTATGGCACAACTGCTTTGAATGTTAATGACGTACTTTAAAATATTCACTATTAGTTTCTCCTCTGCCTGATTTTTTATTCCACTTGCTTATTATTTATTCCTCGTCGTTGCATAAATGTTGTAAGTACTTGTTAACTCCCTGATGAGCACTGAATCACTGGTCACCTTTTGTGAGCACCACTTTGCTCAGAGTTGTCCTTGTTTGATGTCCTTTCTTTGCTTTATTTTTTAATATTATCATGGTTTTTTACCCGACTTAATTTGTTGGCACTCCAGAGACGTGCTGTCTGTCGATACATTTATGCGGTGCCGGAACCAATCTATATGTATTTTGTTTATCAGTATTCGAGCATTAGTTGCATGCATCCGTCAGTCTTGATTCCTTTATACATAATATGCTCTTTTTTATGTGCTGATATTTAGAGACATGAGAGCTCATTGACATGCACGCATGGTGTTTTTCTTTGTGCACCTTTCCCCCACAATCCCTGCTGCTCCTGATCCAGTAGCTAGTGCTGTTAGTGGCGCACCAGCTTGACCTTTTATCTGTTTTCCAACTCCTGCCAAGTTTCGTGCCTGTTGGTCCCCACTTCTTTTTATCAACTTGGATTTCGTTCACCATCACGTCCAACTTATGTGTTTTCAGGATTCAATTGGTTCTGTCTTGTTTATGGAAAATCTTTTTCATATTTGAATTAAAGTATGATATAAAATAGACAATAGGGTGATGCATTACTGTCCAAAATTAAAACGAAACTAACCAACCACAGGCAACTAGTGCCCCAACATTGCACGCCTCATGTCAGAGGTTGGGGTTGGCCGATAAGCTGGCTCCTCACTATAATTTTGTAGCCCAGAGTTGACTCTCTGTGAGACTACTTTTTGGGAAACATGCTGGCTAGATTCAGTGAGTGATGAAAAAAAATCAACATCATGATCATTATGCCGAGTAACCCTTCTTTTGATGGGTTTCCAGCCACTAACGATGGAAAATAGAAGAATGAAATGGAGAGTAACTCGAGCTGTACGAGGGGCTCGACTTCAGGTCCACAAAGCGTGCTTCAAACAGTTTTTGACCTATTACCTTTATTATTTTGTCATGTCTCTTTCCCTTGGATTAGGGATTGGTAGCAGTGGGTGGGTGTTCCAACTTTGTCATGTTGTATGTTGCTTGAAATTGAACCATATGTTATGTTCGAGAAGAAGGGTAGTTCCTCGTGCTAAGCTTTTGGTGGTACACGCTTTAAAGCTTGAATGTACTTTATGTTCTTTCAAAGGTACCGTCACGACTTTCATACCTTTAGTGACGCATGAGAAGATAATTTTGTTTAATATCGACTTTAAAAAGTGTATGAGATCAAAAGTTACGTTAAATATGTAATATTTGAGAAAACACAAGTGTATTTTAAAAGTACTTTCAATTCGAATGCGAATAAAAATTGATAAATATATATGATTTTGATATAACATTATATATGTATTTATTATAAAATTAATTTTAAGTCCTAAAAATTTGACTAATATTTAAAATAAGTCTTTTAAGTTCAAATTATGTCAAAAATATCATTCAATCTCTTTAGAACAATTTTCAAAGTCTTATCTTTCTCAAACTATCAAAAATTATCATTTAAAACAAAAAAATTTAAAGTCATATCTGTCGACAGTCATTTTTGTCCCGTTATTATTTATATCATTATTTATATATTATTATTGTATTATTATTATAAATATTATTAATAAATAATAAATTTTTATATAATATATATTTACAAATCAGGACCCGGAGGCCCGTTTACAAGTTCAACCGAGTCAGGCCCAAAAATGATCCAGGCCCAAATACCCAGCAGACCCAAATAACCTGAAGGCCTAACAAGATCAGATTCGGCCCAAATAACCTGATTCTTCAGTAGCTAACAAGCTCAGTCGTTAGATCTCTTCATATCCAACGGCCCAGAATGAATCCAGCAAAAATCCTAGGGTTCACCAACCTTAGGGAGACTTTGATGCTGCCTCCAACTGCTCTGCCGCCTACATCCAACTGCTCCGCCGCTATGTTCCCCAACAAATTCTGCCACGCCACCGAAGGCTCCAGAAGATGCAAAGAGGACCGCACAACTCATCGAAGCTACGGTGAGTCACCATCGTAGATCTGGTGACTCACCGAAGGGTTCAGCAGAATATTAGCTCATTGAGGCCTATAAAAAGCCTTGAAATTCTTCAAAGAAAGAGGACAGAGAGCAAGGAGGAGGACATCAACGGGGAGATCGAACCAACAAGGAAGAAATATACAACCAACACACCAACTGAGAAAGAAGAAGAGAAGGAGCAGCTTACCCTCGGAGAGACCAAATACCGTCGGAAACCTTTGTGTAAATCGAGGTAAAACTTTTGGTTTTTGCTTAGATCTACTAATTTTGAGGGGGTTTTTAGGTCTGAAAAAGGTTAGATTTGAGTTTTGGTGGAAAAAGGGTCATTTTAGGGTAAGTTTGTAAATTCCTCCACCATGGGTGTGGCCGGCAGTGGTGGTTGACGGCGGCAGGAGGCTGCGGTCGGTGACCGAACTCTTTCCGATAAGAGATTTTTAGAGAGAGGCGTGAGAGAAATTTTGTTTCTCTCTATTAGAGAGAGAAAGAGAAATGAGAAATGAGAGAAATGTTGGCCTTTAGGGCCATATTTGGGTATAAAAATACCCTCTCCAAACAACGTCATTTTGGGGAAGGGGTATTTGCGTAATTTAAGTCACGGGTAAACTATGTCCGCAATCCTTGAGATTTTATAAATTTCTACGTTAGTCACTGAAATCATATTTTGTGCATTTTAATTTGAATCTATAATTTTATTTTATTTATTTTTAGTCACTTAAGCATGCACATATATATTTAGGGTAAATATTAAATTTAATTCTTAAATTTTGATAATTTTTATTTTAATCCCTAATCTTTAATATTTTAATTTTAGTAATATTTTGACTATTATAGTATTTCAAATGAACTCTAATTTTTATATTTTATAATTTAGTCTCATAATTTTAATATTTTAATTTTTTAAATAAGATTGTAAGATTATTTAAAATATAAAGTACTTGTAATATTAACTTTAATTTTTATATTTTCTTGATTAAATCATTAAAATTATTATATGTAATCAGGTTATATTATTTTATACAATAAATTATAAAATATTTTCTTAATTGATTAGGAATATATTTTTAAATAATTTATTGTTATAAAATAATATCTTTATTGTTTTTATGGGATAAAAAAATTAAATTAAATTCAAATTTATAAATTTTACTGCAAAGACATTAATTAATAAATAAATGTACCAATTTTGGGCGTTGTGGGAGTGTTAATCCTTCCCACACGTAATCGACTCCCGAACTCATTTTCTGGTAATCATACCCTTTTTGAGTTATTTTAATAATATTTTTATAAATTTTATTAAAATAACATAGTATTTTTGTGACCAATCACACCTCGATAAATGATTGGTGGCGACTCCTCAAATTTGTGTTTTATCTTATATAATAAGAAAAACACTTACTTTTTCGAGGCGAGATTTAGAAAATAACGACACTTGTTTTCGCCAGGAAAATATCGTCTCGACAGTTTGGCGACTCTATTGGGGATAGGGTTTAGAAACCCTAGCTATAAATGTGAAAACTCTGCTGGGGATACGGTGTTTTCCCGGCGAAAACAAGTGTCGTTATTTTCTAAATATCGCCTCGAAAAAGTAAGTGTTTTTCTTATGATATAAGATAAAACACAAATGTGAGCAGTCGCCACCAATCATTTATCGAGGTGTGATTGGTCACAAAAATACTATGTTATTTTAATAAAATTTATAAAAATATTATTAAAATAACACAAAAAGGGTCTGTTTACCAGAAAATGAGTTCGGGAGTCGATTACGTGTGGGGAAGGATTAGCACTCCCACAACGCCCAAAATTAGTACCTTTATTTATTAATTAATGTCTTTGCAGTAAAAATTATAAATTTGAATTAATTTAATTTAATTTTTTTATCCCATAAAAAACAATAAGGATATTATTTTATATCAATAAATTATTTAAAAATATATTCCTAATCAATTAAGAAAATATTTTATAATTTATTGTATAAAATAATATAACCTGATTACATATAATAATTTTAATGATTTAATCAATAAAATATAAAAAAAAGTTACTATTACAAGTACTTTATATTTTAAATAATCCTACAATCTTATTTAAAAATTAAAATATTAAAATTATGAGACTAAATTATAAAATATAAAAATTAGAGGTTCATTTGAAATACTATAATAGTTAAAATATTACTAAAATTAAAATATTAAAGATTAGGGATTAAAATAAAAATTATCAAAATTTAGGAATTAAATTTAATATTTACCCTAAATATATATGTGCATGATTAAATGACTAAAAATAAATAAAATAAAATTATAGATTCGAATTAAAATGCATAAAATATGATTTTAGTGACTAACATAGAAATTTATAAAATCTCAAGGATTGGACATAGTTTACCCGTGACTTAAATTATACAAATACCCCTTCCCCAAAACGACGTCGTTTGAAGAGGGGTATTTTTATACCCAAATATGGCCCTAAAGGCCAACATTTCTCTTATTTCTCATTTTTGTTTCTCTCTTGCCTCTCTCTAAAAACCTCTCATCGGAGAGAGTTTGGTCACCGACCGGCAACCTCATACCGCCGTCAACCACCACTGCCGGCCACCACCCACGGTGGCCGAAATTTACAAACTTACCCCAAAAATGACCCTATTTTCCACCTAAACTCAAATCTAACCTTTTTTAGTCCTAAAACCCCTAAAAATTAGTAGATCTAAGCAATAACTGAAAGTTTTACCTCAGTTTACACAAAGGTTTCCGGTGGCATTTGGTCTCTCCGAGGGTAAGTTGCTCTTTCTCCTCTTCTTTCTCAGTTTGTGTGTTGGTTGTATATTTCTTCCTTGTTGGTTCGATCTCCCCATTGGTGTCCTCTCCTTGCTTTCTGTCCTCTTTCTTTGCAGAATTTCAAGGCTTTTTATAGCCTCGATGAGCCACTATTCTGTTGAACCCTTCGGTGAGTCACCGGATCTACGATGGTGACTCTCCGTAGCTTCGATGAGTTGTGCGGTCCTCTT